GGGGAGGGGTCACAGGGAGGAAGATTGGCAGGGGCTGCTGGGTAATGGGGAGCTGTCTGTGCCGTAGGCGCATCCTCAAGTGCCAACCCCCATTCCCAACTGTCATTGGCCCCGTTGCCCGCGACCTGCTGCAGAAGCTGCTGTGCAAGGACCCCAAGAAACGCCTGGGCTCGGGGCCCAATGGGGCACAGGACATCAAGGAGCATCCCTTCTTCAAGGTGAGCGGGAGGGGACACCCCCACCATGGCCACAGCCCACTCACACATGGCTCGAGCCCCTCAGCAGAGCCCCATACAGCCTGGGCAGGCCCCATTTTGCATAACCCTCCTTCCCGGCAAGGCCCCCCACATATAGGTCTTAGGTAGGGATTGCCCCTGCCCCACAGCTGCCCTATGTCCCAAGCAGAGAGCCCCTCATTTACTCCCATCCCCCTGGGAGGGGCCTACGTACAGCCCCTCTTATACTGCTTGGTCATCAGGGCCCCCTGGCCAGATCTCACTCCCTTGTCGGCCAGAGATCCTTGTGCAGCCCTCACATCTGGGAAAGAACCTTGTGTGCACCCCTAGCCAAGGTGCCCGTGAGTCTGCCCTGGCAAATCTTCCCTCCACAACTTGCAGCCCCCTCCCCTGCAATGCTCCTCTCCTCCAGCCTTGGTGCACTCATCACATGCAGAGCTCCCCATGGATTGGCCAGCACCCCAAATCCTAGAGTTTGTCTTGGGGAGCGAGCCTCAGTGCCTGCTATCCAGCCTAGGCACTCAATATCTGCTGGACCCTACCCCTATTTCCCCACCCATCTCCTCCCCCATAGGGCTTGGACTGGGTGGAGCTGGCCGCACGGCAGGTGAAGGCCCCGTTCAAACCCATCGTCCGCAGCGAGCTGGATGTTCGCAACTTTGCTGAGGAGTTCACCCGTCTGGAGCCCGTGTACTCGCCTGCTGGGACCCCCCCCAATCTGGACCGCGTCTTCCAGGTGAGACCCCCCCCATCTCCCAGCAGCACCCAGCATCCTGTGTGCTTGGCTGCTGGAACCCTCCCAACCTGGACTGCATCTTTCTGGTGAGACCCCCGCCACACAACAAGGTCCCCACCAAATACTCCCTACTGTGTACTTGCCTTCCCCCCACCAGACTGCAAATTGCAAATGAGGCCTCTGCCCTGCTATGCCCTCCCCCTGCCAACCTCATCCGTACAGTGGCTGATCTCTGGGCCCTGGCAGAGGACACTGGCTCCTGAATCCTCTGCTCTCCCTGACAAGGGGGGGCTCTCTGGTGTGTGTGCAGAATCTCCCAGGCCCCCCAGAGCTGCGGGGTGTCTCCAATGGGTGTAGCCATGGAGATATCATAGCCCCTGGCTCCATTGTACCCCTCCCTCCCTCTTTCAGGGCTACTCCTTCATTGCTCCCTCCATTCTCTTCAACCACAACGCCGTCACCACAGACGTGCTGGAGCTGGCGCTGAGTGGGGAGCGCCCGGGCAGTACTGCTGTGGCACGCAGTGCCATGATGAAGGTAGGGGCCTCTTGTATGAGTGGACTTGGTGAAAGTGGCAGAGGCTGGGTAATAGGTGAGGAAATGGCCCTGGTTTGCACTGGATTCCTCATCAGGGAGACCTTGTGGGGGGGGGGGGGACACCCCTCCCCAGCAGTGGGCGCTGTTGATGCTCCAACTCTCCCTCCCTCCAGGACTCTCCATTCTTCCAGCTCTACGACATGGACCTGAAGGAGGCAGCGCTGGGTGAGGGCAGCTTCTCCGTGTGTCGCCGATGCCAGCAGCGCCAGGGTGGTACCGAGTTCGCTGTCAAGATCATCAGCAAGAGGTGGGGTGCTCCCCCCCATGCTTCAGTTGCTATGGCAACCCGTTCCTCCCCCATGGAAACACCCCCACGACATTGCCTATAGCAACCTCTCCATGTGCTTCCCCGACTTCCCAGCTCCCACACCAACCTCCGAAGGGCCCATGCCTAGCTCCCATAGGTGCCTCCCCAGACTCACCTCTGGGATTAAAGGGGGAAGGTGTGCTGCAGAAATTGGGAAGTCACTCTAGACTTTGCCCCCCAACCTCGTTGACCCTCAAGCGCTCCATTGCCAACACCACCCAAATAGGATCTTTACCCTCCATCAGCCACCACACTCCCCACCCCCACCATCATCTCCCTTCCCCTGAACTCTCCTCCCACTTCTTTGCTGTCCCATTCCCCTTCCCCCCCAACTCCCTGCTGGGTCCTTCCTTTCCCCCACTCCATCCCACAGTGCAGTTCTCCAGAGGCTCTGCTAAGGTCTCCCTCCCCTTCTCCTCAGGATGGAGGTGAACACCCAGCGAGAGGTGATGGCCTTGCAGCTGTGTGAGTCTCACCCCAACATCGTCAAACTACATGAGGTGCATCATGACCAGGTACCCCTTTCCCCACAGCACCCTCTGGGACTAGCACTCCCCTTCTTCCCTAGGCATCAATAGCCCCCATTGCCTCTTCCCAGAGATGGTGATATCTCAGTGCTGGATGAGGGATCCCTGTGAAACTGGCCCCTGTGCCCCACCCCAAAGGTAGCTGCATCTTAGTGGGGACAGCATCTCCATGTTGTAGGATCCCCTCTGCTCAGTGACGTTCCTCCCCTCTCCCTGAGCAGTACCACACGTACTTGGTGATGGAGCTGCTGCGGGGGGGTGAGCTCCTTGATCGTATCAAGAAAAAGCAGCATTTCAGCGAGTCAGAGGCCAGTCAGATCATGCGCAGCCTGGTGTCAGCCGTCAGCTTCATGCATGATGTCGGTGTGGTGCATCGGGACCTCAAACCAGAGGTATGGGGCAATGGAAATAGGTTCGTGGGCAGGGCCTCGGGAGATCGAGTGCATGACCAACATAAAATGTTGGGGAAATGGCCTAAGGGGCTTGGGGTGCAGGGCCTGGGAGACTATGGAATTGGGGCACAGGGCTTTGGGTTTTGTGCTGTGGAACTTGGGAGATTTGGGAATAAAGGTGCGGGGCCTTAGGAGATTGGGATGCTGGGGCTCTGGGGCGTGGGCCCTGGTGCTGCCCCCAGGAGCTCAGGGCCCCATCCTCCTGCTGTCCCCCAGAACATTCTGTATGCTGACGAGTCAGAGGGTGCCCCAGTGAAGGTGATTGACTTTGGCTTTGCCCGCCTGCGCCCCTCGGACTCGCAGCCCATGCAGACGCCTTGTTTCACGCTGCAATACGCCGCCCCCGAGCTCTTCGCTGATGAGGGCTATGACGAGTCCTGTGACCTCTGGAGCCTTGGTGTCATCCTGGTATGTATGGGGGGAACGTTGAGTACAAAGCACCCCAGATCAGCACAGGGCAGGGGCATTGTGATGGCAGGGTTCTGGAAGGGTCCCAGTCTCCCTGCTGCTGTTGCTGAATAGGCACTTTGCACTTCACCCCAGCATCCCAGAGGTGAATGATTTCAGCTGGGCTGAAGAATTTAACCACATGGTGGCACATTCCCCCCACCCACCACCCCAGCGCAGCCCATAGAGTCCAGTGGGGAGCAGGGGAAGTACTTACAGCTCTGTTGTCTGGCTTCCTGCCCTCTTCCCTGGGAGGAGAGTTAGGACAAAGGCTTTTGACTTCCCTGTTCTCCCATGATTTGGATAGGAGGAGGAAGAGGAGGAAACAAAGAGTTAATCCCCACACACACACACACACACACACACTTTCACCAGGGTCAAAGAGCATGCTCCCAAGGCTGGACTTGGACTCTGCCCACCGATAATAAACCTGTGTATACATGGAGCTGGGCTGTTAGGAGGCTCCCCTCTTCTCCTGCCACTCCTGGCAATGGCAGCAAGCCCCGCTGTACTTCTCTGAGGAATTCCTGCTAGGGCTGGTCCTGTGAGAGACATATAGTCCCAGTGCTGGCATGAGGCTGGCAGGGTCCCACAGAGCAGCGAAGCTGAGATTATTGAGGGCTGCTCCCCCCCTGAGTGATGGACTCATGCTCTCTGCAGACTCAGGCAGGGGTCTCTGCCTCAATTTTGCTCAGGGTAGCTTCCCTCCTCCTCAACCCAGCGGTCAGCTCAGGCTCTCTGCAGACTCAGGGCAGGTGTCTCACATTTTACAGCTTTTCCCCCAAACCATGATACCTACAAACTGACTTTATATAACAGAAGCTGCTGTTCCTCTGCAGTCACCTGACTCCACAAGCTGGTGCACCAAGCACGTGCCAACCTCTAAACCCAGCCGCTGCCTCTGGAGCAATAGTACTGTGTCCTGAAGAGCCATTGGCCCTGTGGGGTGTCAGTGAGGGAGTGTTGTCTGGTGGGGTTACTCCAGGGCAGGGGGAAGGGAAATGCAGAGGGGCTAGTGGGTTCCCCATGAAAGCAGAAGTCTGTGCTGGGGGGGCCACTTCCACAATCTCTGTTCCTCTCTGAGCAATTCGAATGGAAAAAGCAAATGCTCAGCTCTGTGCTGTGCTTGTAGGTGGGTAGAGCTGCAGGATCACCCCCTTCCCAAGGGACCCCAGCATGAGGGAGGGGATTTGGGAGACTGGGGGGAATCACACACACCCCTTGGAGTAGCTTGCTGGTATTTGCCCTGAGTCAGCTTCACCCAGCGTGTCTGGTAACACCCCCATTGTCTCTCACTCCCCCCAGTACACCATGCTGTCCGGACAGGTGCCTTTCCAGAGCAGCCAGGAGGGCGGTGCACTGACCCACGCAGCTGAGATCATGCACAAGATCAAGGAGGGACAGTTCTCACTGGAGGGCGAGGCCTGGAGGGGAGTCTCCGAGGAGGCCAAAGAGCTAGTCAGAGGTGAGGGGGGCATGAAATAAAGGGTCAATATATAGCCAGTGGTCCCCAACATTTGGAGGTTGACGGGCACCAGACCTTTGGAGGTTGCTGGGCGCCAGGGGGCGGGCCCCCCCATATCAGCGTGCCCGGGGGCGGGGCCACCTCCAAGAGCCGCGTGCCCGGGGCCGGTGTCCCCCCCCC